ACCCACAGCCGAGGCAGCGGGGAAGGCAGGACGGGGCTGTTTTGTTCCCTAAGACCAGTCCCCGGTGGGTGCCTGCAGCAAGGGCGGTGCCGGCCATGTTGGGCTCCTCAGCCTGACTGGGAGGGACCCTCAAGATGGCGGCCAGCGGTAGGGGGGTTGTGGGTGACCAGCCCCTTGCCTGTGACCCCTGCTGTGCTCAGAGGGTCTTTTTCTTTTTTTCCTTTTTTTTTTTTTTTTTTAAATTTCTTATTTCCCCCCCCTCTTTTTTTTCCTTTTAGTTCACTTCTGAAGTGGCAGGGCTGCCCTGCCTGGCGTTTGAACCCAGCTTTGGTGACGGTGCCCGCCATGCCCGCCTCCGAGAGCCCCAGCCTGGCCGCGCTGCCCCTTCCCACAGCCTGTGACCGGCAAAAGGTGAGTCGGTCCTGACTGCAAAGGACATTTATAAACGGGGCGTTTTCTGAGAAAAACAAGGTGTACAAAGGCTTGCCAGGCTGAGCGCTGCCCTGGGGTACAGGAGGCCTCGGATGGGCATGGCGGGTGCCTCGGCTGCTTCCTTACGGGTGCGTCACCTGGTGTGGCAACAGGCGCTTCGGTAAGGCTCTGTAAGCACATTGTAAGAGTGAGGTGGGGTTCAGATGGTTCTTGTGGAAGAATCCCACAGGGTTGGGGTCAACCATATTGTCCCCTGTGTCTGTGGGCAGCCGCCTGCCGGGCTGGGCAGTGAGGCCACCGGTCTCGATTGCCTCATGTATTTCTTCGGTGCACCTCAGCTAAAGTTTTATTGACTTAATTTACTAGTAAATCCTTCATTTCTTCTTTTTTTTTTTAAATAACTTATATTTTTCCTATATGAAACATTACCCACAGCCACCTCTGGCTGCACAGAGCTACGGTGACATTTGTTTCTCTGTCATTAAAATGTCCCAAATCCCATGTCATTTGTAGTGCTTAGTGAAAGCAAATCACCAAACCACTTTTACCTCTATTGAAAAGACCCTCAATTCTCCAAGTGTAACATTTTTAATAGAATCTTGCGGGTTGGAAAAGACTTTTAAAATCATTTTGTCCAACCGTAATTTTTGTGGTGGAGTGTTACCTCCTGTGCAAGGTACAGCAGTAGGCAATGGGCCTCCCATCTCTGGATCTAAGGTGGTTGAATTATACCCAGTACTAACACATTTATTAGACTTCAAAACCAGTCTGGGAAGCTATGTAGGCCTCTCTATATCCTTGTTTGGACTATAGGTGGATGGAAGATATTTTACGTGGATTTGCTATATGACATCTGTTTAACAGGAAGGCTGCTTGCTGGCTGTGCCAGCAAATGTCATCTTCCCTGTGAAATCCACTTCTGAATAGGCAAGGGAGGAAAGGAGAAGGCAAAAAGCTTTACCCTTTTCTCCAGGCAGTCATGGAAAATTAATTCTGTACAGAAGAAAAGTGCATTTTGAGCTTGTGTTTGTCAGCAGGAGGGACTGACCATGCAAAGAAGCTGGCTTGTTTGTTCAATTCTGTCTGGATAATAGAAATACATTTCTTGTGAGTAATGACTAGGTTTCCTTGTCTCTTTCTGCTTCCTGAGAAAATATTTTGCTGAAAACGTATTGTATTAGGAATTTTTGGTGTGCCTGCCCCTCTTGTTGGCCCCTCCCCATTCCCCTGATGACTGTGAAGGAGTGAAGCTGGGCCTGTGTTCATGTCACAGGCAAACCCTAAACCAAAACACAAGCTGCTTCCAGAGTTTTCTCATAAGCAAAGCTGCAGTCAAACTGTGATAATCCCCCCAAATGCTTTGGTCTTTGCACTCTTGAACATGATCAGTTTATGCATCTGGTTTTCTGCAACCTAAACGCTAGTCTGCCTCCGACTTGATTCAGACTGACAAAGCCCCTGCTTTGTCTTTTTGTTTTAAACCTGAAACATATATCTCTAGTTTTTATATCTCTAGTGAATTTTAGTTTCCAGTGCTGTTTCATTTTCTATTGTAATCCAGTTTTCAGGCCCAGAAGCTAACCAGTCTTCAACTCTGGCTCCAACATATGTGAAAGGTATTAGCAAAGTTTGTGTTAACTTTTCTGTACGTGGGAAAATACTGTTCTTTCTGGGTCTTCCTAAATATCTCTGTTCCTTCCCCCGCCCTTTCCTGTATTATCACAGCTTGGCTAGTAGTTCTTAAGGAGTTACTGTTGTTTCCCAGTGTCTTTGCAATATAAGTGTAGTGTAGACACAATTCTTGAAAATCTGTGCCTGAAACTACCTGTGGAACAGCAAATTACTTTTCCATAACTATCTTCACAAAAGAAAACCAAATGGCCCACTTCAAGCCTTCCTGTCTTTTACTGTTTTTTTTTTAATTGAATAGCTTTTGCTGTAGATTTGTATTTATTCACTGCATTAATACTAGTCCTGTAATTGTCACATCCTGCACCAGAACAGACTGTGTCTGCCTGGTTGCAAAGAGGTGCCTCTGACAAAGAACAAACTGAACTAGAGCACTGACACAGATGCAGATTGTAGCATTTCCTTTTTTCTCATTAGCATAAAATTCAGATTCACTCAGTAAAAATGGTCCTACTTGGCTATTCAGATTTTATTCATGCTGAAGTTTGTGCAGAATAGTACTTACAGAAGAATAACCATCTTTTCAGCAGATTTTTTGGTTTCTTCCTCTTAATTATGTTTTAAAATATTTCATAGTAAATCAGATCCTCCCACATCATAAGTAATTGCTGTAAATGCTCTTCTCTAGCCACACGGTAAACTGAGTCACAGCCTAGTGATAAGCTGCCCCCGTGAATCACTAGCAATAAATGACAGTAGATCCAGATCCTCCGTGGGTTCTTCCCATCATTCTGAAGAGAGCTGCCTATGAAATGAGAATCACCTCATGAATTTCATAAAGAATCTGAATGAGGAGGGATGGTGGGCTTTACACATACTCCCAGCAGATGCAGGGAGCTTGTTTAATGCAAAAGGCATTGTTCCCAGTGGAGGCATCGTGAGGAGTATTTGCATCACTGGTCTTTAAAACCAGTGCTCCCAGTGCTTTAAAACCAGAGGAGCTCCCAGTCCTACAGGACTTTTGTATGGGATTGTGCTGTTGAGCATGTTGTTTGTAAACCTTGAAAGAGCGGTAAAACACGAGCCTTTTAGAATACTTCCATTTATTATATCTTGCAAAACAGCCTGAAAACAAAGCATCTTTCTTCTTAATTTCTTGATGCATTGTCTACTTGTGGGATGCTTAGGGATGTAACGGACATAGCTAACACAGAGATGTTCAACAGATGGGTGAGAAGGCAACTGTTTATCCTGGTTAACTAGCCAAGTGTTTGTAGAGGTGAAGTGACACTGGGTAGAGCTGTGGTACCATTTCCTTCACTGTAAGAGATCTGCCTGTTCTCTACCTGATGGGCTGGGTGTGTGCCCCAGCTCTGCTGAGCAAGGCACTGTAGTCAAAGCAATTTTGCTATGTGCAGATAATACCCAGGATGACCCATGTGAATTTTATTCTCCAGAAGCCTGTTGACATCAGAAACATCCCAATGTACTGCAGATTCCACACACCACCCACCACCCCCCCAGTACATCCAACCCTAAATGTTGTGAAGAAAATAAGGGGGGAAAAAAAAAAAGTCACATTCCTTTTCTGAATGAATGATGTGTGGATTCCCCTTCAGCAAGGATGAAAGAAATAAAAAGTCAAGGCAATGAAAATATAGGTCTCTGTTCAACTTTAATCTTTCATTTATGTTTGCTTCTCAAATTTTTTCATTTAGCTAAAAGTACAGTTAAAGTCTTAATCATTCCTCTAAACATAAAAAGGTGAATTTCCTTTCTCATGTGTTTTTTTTTAAAAAAAAAAACCCTTATATTATTGATTTTTAAATATGAAAATAATTATTCCCCTTGCTTTTTCTCCTTTGGTAAGTTGTGGTTAGCCCCTCTGTCATGATTTTCCCAAAAATGGCCATATAGCTGTAACATGAAGTAATCTCTGCCAACATTGCCCTAAAGGAAAAAAATACAAGTCTGCTAATATGAAATTCTATCTTATTGTGGCCAAAATCTAAAATTCTAAAAGAAGCGATAACATGTTATATGACAGTAGCCAAAGAAAACAGTTATGTCTGTCTTCAGAGCGAGAACTGGAATAATATAAGGAAATCCCATTTCTCAATATATTGAGCTTTTCTTTAAGTAATTGGGTAAGAGCTGAAGAAATCAGTTCAAAACACAGTCTTCTTAGAAAAACTGTGAATCTTAACCATATGTGAATATTTTACAGGAATGTTATTACTAAAAAAGAAATCATAGGGAAATGTTGATGCCAAAATGTTAAAAACTGAAATTTAAAACTTCTAAAATCTGGTCTTAAAAGGGCCATTTCTTGAGCTGTCCCATTTTATTAGGCAAATGAAAACTGTAAAGGCTCATCCAAGTGTAGTGTTTCAAGTGCAGCCCTCCAAAGAGAGGGAATTTCCGCAGATGTGCAATTGGTATAGGTGACTTGGCTTCCCTTTTTCTTTCCAGCACATCATACCGGGCATGGGCATCCCAGAGAAGGATGCTGCACTAGGCTGAATAAATAGGCTTGACAGAGAAACCTGAAATCCAGAATCAGTAGATTAGATAAAAGGAATCCAGTATCCTCTTCTAAAGTTAATACAGATGAAATTTCTCACATATCCTTCACTAGATAGGATGGCTCAGGTGTTGCTCAATTGTGTGTGAGCATTTTTTTCTTTGCTTTGTGTTGTATCCTTGTGTAGGACAATGTAGGGATGGTAAGAATTACTCCACATGTTACTGTCTTCCTGATTTGCAGTGGTGCATGTAAACATATTCCACACAAAACCCTTCATAGGCACTTAAGAACAGATTCCTCTTGAAGGTCCTTTGTCTAGCTTGTAAAGTGTCCTTCCAGTGTTGTGTTAAAGCTACAGGCTTGCACATAATCCATCCTAATGTTTTCTTTAGTGTTTGGCTGCTTTTAAAAAAAAAAAAAAAATTGAATCTTCATATCTTTATCTCACAGTTCCTTTGAATTCTTGTGATTTAGTGCAATGGGTTTCATTTTATAGAAGAGCAGCAACAGAAGTTCTTGGTTAGTGTCTGGAGGGGGACAAGGTTAAATTCTGTATTGAGATAAAATTGGTGAGTTGGCAGTTAGAGAGACTACTTAATACAAAGAACCAGCAACAACAACAAAAAACCCCTCCAAAAAAAGCCCAGAACCTTGAATGAGGTGCTAAGTATTCATTGGAAAAGAGAACTCAGGATGTAGGTAAGCATCAGGGCCAACATTAAAACCTTAGCAGGAGGCAGGAGGGTGCTGGCACTGGACCAGTACACCTTGCGTTCGTTCAGAAACTGAACAGGCCGGAAATTTTCAACCATGTAAGTTGAGTTCTTCCCATCAAAGTGGACTGTCGAAAACTGAGAAATCTGCAGACATAAAAAAAAATAAAAATCATTAAATCCTTTTTCCATGGAACACTGGATATTGTGATATTGTGCCTTACGCTGTGGCTTTGTTTTGAGCTGTATGGATGCATTAAACCTTGCAGGAAACAATGTGATGGAGGCTATTTCCAGAGGTCACCCACAGATGACTTCTATTACCCTTGGAAATCATGGGGACTTCCTTTCTGTGTAAGCCAAATGTTTTGTCCAGCTCAAGGGCCTGATTACACCGGTCCTCTTGGCACACACAGTCCTGTCCTTGTCCATCACGTCACAGTGAAACAGAGTAAGAGCGCTAAGATTTCTTTCTTTCCTTCAAATGTCTGTTTGTGGTGTGACGCTGACCCAGAGCAAGCAGAAGCTCACTCTTGCGTGCTGTGCTGTGCTGACCTGTGTGCGGCTCAGCATTGCCCTTGGCTGAAGTGATGAGTACACTGCAGGCTGGGGGACTAAAATACAGATGCTGGCTCTTGGCCAGGTTGTGCTGGCTAGTAGCATTGCCGAGAGTCCACTCCAGGACATCTGAATTTTTTAATCATGTACTCTATCAGCTCAAAAATCTGTATTTTTGAGACAGTGGTGATTCAGTCTCCCGTTCCTCCCTAAAGAACAAAAATGGGTTGATTAAAGCTGATGCTGATAGACTCAGAGTTTGGGTTTTGAAGTATCCTGTTCTGGTACAATAGGAGAAAAGCAGTGAAATCTGGGGGTGAGCAGGTGACAGCAGTGGAAGTGCTGCTGACGAAGCGCTGAGCTAGGTTTTTACCTGTGGGGTTTTTTTGGCTTTCTTTTCACGTCGTCATTTCCCCTTCCTTCCCCTTTCCTGCCATTTTTTGAGATGATTTAATAGGGTCAAAATCCTGGCACTAGCGCCTGTGTTTAGGCTAATGCCAAGCAATTGTGTGTGTGTGTGTGTGTGTGATAGGAACAAGGCAGTGGGGCAACTGAAAGCCTGTGTTAAATTGTGTGAGTGAGCAGGAGGTCCAAGGGGCAAATAACTGTAAGCAGACCTTCCAGGCTGCCCCTCTGTGGCTTACCTGGGAAATACTGAGTTCAACTGGCTTCTCAAATACTGTCCAGATGACGCCCTCGTGGCAGTCAGGAGTGGTGAGGGAGCCCTCATACCGATAGTACCTGCCAAGGTCTTCCTTGGGTGGGAGAAGAGAGCTCAGAGGCAAAGGCTCCATCTGTGCCAGTTGCCCTAGAGAAACCATGTGGAAACATCACTTACAGCAAGCACAGCTGCAGGTATTGGTCCTGTCTCGAACACAGCTGCTGCTCGGGGCTACGTAAAACCTCATCCCCACGCTTGTGCCCCCATGAAATCCCTGACTGCCAGCTGCGGGTCCCGCAGAGCACAAGTTACACACACTCTCGTGTCAACTCTCTGCATGTTTTTCTTCTCGCCGTGATTCCTCCTGCAGAAGCAGAAATACTCACACTGGTGCTTCTTCACTGCAAATATGGACTAGATTTTCTCCCATCTCTGATGCTCTGAGTGCCTGGCAAACTAACCTCTGTCTTTTGGCTTTGACTTTCAAGTAACAATCTCTACTACAATTTGGACAGGATTGGACCATGAATCCCCTGGTAGTAATGTGCTCAAAATAAATGTATGTTATGTTTTGACCGACGCAAGTGTCTTACCTTTGTATTTAATATTCTCTAATTTGTTTATTAGAGTTGTGTAGTTTTTATTTTCTTCTTCAACCTGAAATGGAAATATTTTGATTCCAAATTGTGCATTTCTCAACAACTGGTTGCTTTAAATCAATTGTGAATTAAACAGAACCACAGGGCTAAAAGATAATAGCAAGCAGAATGTAGAAAAGGGTAAAGGAGCTAAGTGCTGGCACTGAATGCTTGCAGAAGATAGGGAGCCTTAGGTCTTGGACTACTGTAACACAATCATTCAGCCAAACTGCTGGTAAATTTGAGATTGGCAATTCAAAATTTGGCTACCTACCTTTATAAAGAATGCTAACACAGCCACACCATCTGGCTTTTTCTTTGCTTCTGTTATATCCGGAACATCTTCTCTGATGTGGACAACGTGAAGCTGTAACAAATAGTCAATAATTTGTTCCGTTTCCTCTGCAGTTCACTGCTCTAAGTGCAGCCTGGCTGCTTCTCTGCACCTACACTGCAGCGGGGCCAGAGCTGCTTCGTGGCTCACAGGCTGGGGACAGACAGACGGATGGCTCAAGGACCTTGACCTGAGACAGGAACTATGTAATAAGTGGATTATCATTTGGAACTTCATTCATCAACAATGGGATCATTTCATACAGCGCCCCAGAAGGTGAAGCACTCTGTGGACCGCTGCAGCCCTCAGTTTTCAGCCTGTGCAGTGGAACAGGCAGATTTTTACACCATGCTTTGAAAGGGGGGAAGTTTCCTTCCACCAATCCATGTCTATTAGCACTGGGGACTTGTCTTGCCTTGTAGAGAATATTTTTTTTTTTGGTTGTGTAGGTCGATTGATGGTTGCAGTCCCAGAAACAAATACATAATCTGAGTAAGCAGTGTGCAAGTGTAATCAGACTGTATAGACGCTGAAACGTTTCTCCTCCCAAGAGGTTATATAATTCCAGATTTGTTGTCTGTCTTGTGCCTTTGCTATGCAAAACTAGCGTGTGTTCCTGCATGTTCTGCTTAGAGAGCGACGTGTCCTCGGTTCTTTATTGCCACTGTTGGGGTTTCACAGGAGAACTAGCCAACAGTTTTTGTGCAACAGTGTCTTAAAAAGCCAGAGTTCTTGAGGAAAAATCATAATCCACAAACAGTCTCACCTACCTCCATGGCTTGTTTTTCTCCGTCTATGCTGTGCTCTGAGCCGGGGAAGTATCGCTGCACATCTTTGACTCCCCAGTGCAAATGAAATTCTATCGCCTTGTATTTTCTTCTCAGACCTCCACCTTCAATTTTAGGGGATGTGCTTAATGTTACTTTAACTGGGGAAAACAAATAAATTGTTTTTTAAAAAAAAATATCAGATCATACCTTAATAGTATGTGAGAGTAGAGATGCATGTTCTTGAGATGCAAATTTATCCTTAAGTTCTGGCTTGTTTTTTCTTACCAACTGTTCCAGAAGTTCAACTCTGCAGAAGCTGAACTCTTACAAAATGCTAGCTGAGATTAACTTGAGGGGAAAGGGAGAAATATCATAGCCCACTTCCTAGTCATAAGCAACAGCATTTGGACATCCCTCTACGGCACAGCACTTGGAGCTTCTCTTCCCATTTCTAGCTTGGATTTGCTCTTGAACGACTCGTGTAGAGCCTCACTGGCTGGAGAGCTGAGCTACCCATTATTGCAGTTGAATAAATAATAATAAATAAAAATAATATAAATAAAAGAAATTTGATGATACTTGTTTCCATTTGTAACAGAGCACTGCTTTGGGTTGTCCTGGCATCCATTGATAGACCCTTCGGAGTATCACTGGGTAATAGAGAACGGGGTAATAAACTGTCTTTCCTTGATTGTACTGAGGGGATTTGTAGGGAATTGCTCACTGCCACTATAACCCCAGGAGTCAGAGCTGCTTATACCTTTCAAAATACCCTATATTCCTTCATTTTTTTTTTATCTAGGAGAACACCCACTATCACAGTATTCTTAATAGTAAGCTTGATCACAGTTTATCTGATTTTGTTTTTAAGCATCATTTTTATCTTCTACTGTCTGCACTGTATCATTTGTTTTAGGCAGGGTTTAAAAATATTCCATTGAGAGTGGTGTTGCAACTTAAGCCTAGGTGTCTAATTCACTATAACTATTTAATGTGATGCTTGATCTGTTGTTAACAGCAAAACACTATTTTCTTAGGAGATATTTTTCTAGCTATAAGTTACCATCGCTTCCTGTGCTTGAGACATTTAGGGTGTATTTTAAAAATCTGTTTATTAAGACCTCTACATTAAAGACAGTAGTTTTCTTCTGTAGGAAAGATTGTTTTGACCTGGATTGAAGCCCCTGATACTTCATTTCTGTTCTGATTCCAAATGAACTGGAAGCTTGCATGAGTCATTTGGTTACTTTGCTTTTTTATCTGTAAATGGATGAGTAACATATCTTTGTTGGCTTTGTTTATGTAGATTGTAGGACCTTTGAGATGCTGACCTTTGCTATCTGCACATCGTTGGATTTAATGATAGTCTAATCTCATACAGAGCTTCTAATTGCAGCTGTAATTTAAGCGATAACAGTTCGAGTATTCTACTAATTGTAGCACAGGTATTGGTTGCCCTCAGAAGGAAGACGTTTTAAAAGCCTGGATTAAAAACCTAATCCTTTGGCATGGCTGGTCAAAAATGAGAGTTTTGACCAATCCTTATGAATATTAATTTTTGCGTAAAAGATATTTCGATGCATAGTCACTGTAACATGTAGATTGTCGAATATCATTCTGTAATGGGAACGTCATGAACCCATACACTAATGAAAAGTCAAAACATGCCTTTTTCTTATGGTCTGCCAGTATACTGATGTTCTAGACTAGGATCTCTGGCTGTGAAATCCAGCTGTCTACCTTCCTACCTTTCCATTCTAAGTTAGGAAAATATTTGCCACTTGCAGCTTCCCATTTTAGGGACTTGGCAGGTAAAACAATCCATCTAGGATTTTAAGAACGCCTATAGATATTTTTTTTTTTAAAAAAGGACAACAGATTTAATATTAAAATTAAGGTAGTTTAGCATAATATTGTTGAAGCATCACCATTAGTATTGCTTTTGGTGAAGAAAAGTGGAGGAAGTGAAACAGTGATAACTTACTATTCACTGATTCATTCACTGTTTACTGACCCGTTGTTCACTGAGTCACTGTTTACTGAATCACTAAGTAGCTGATCAACAAGCTCACGTTAGATTACTTCCACATGTGGATAAACCAGGTTGAAATGTGAGATGTCAGCTCATTCTCTAAAGAACTAGTAAAACACACACTCTGAGCCACTGGTTGAATGACTTTCCCAGATGATATTCTTCAGCGGAATTATTCTTTCTGCAGAAACAAGGGTCAGAAAAGGCAAGCCCAGAACTGAAGAGTATAGGAGCATTCAGCAGAAATTATATACCCCTGCCAAAACTGTTGTCCTAAACCTGTATACTCACCTACCTCCTAGTCCTAGAGGTTGTTGTTTGGCTCAGAGGTTCCCAGAGATCTCAAGCTCTGTTTCTGCACATGCACAGAAACCAATTTCTGCTGAGACACTTGGGGACTGTGTCCAGAATCAAAAAAACTAGATAATTCCCACAAAGTTCCACGGAAGTCTTGATTCAGAGAGGGTTCTGAAAGTTTCACTTCTGAAATACAGGGGTGCTATCTTATTTTTGCTTCCTTGCTTTTAAGAAGCAGGAGCGATATTTACCACCTTGCCCAGGACATGGAAGAAGCAAATGAATGGTTCCAAGTGAAAGCACAAGTAAATCTTATCATAATTTGACAGTACTTGCCTGTATGTCCATTATTTTCTATGCTCCATTTTGAAGTTCCCTTCACATCGTATCCTTCAAAATTCAGTGGCTTAAGGCTTCTGTCATAAATTACATTTTTGGTGACAATATTGATAGGTGACTGCTTGTTTCCATTGCACGTGTCATATGTTAGATGCCATTGTCGAGGATCTATTTAAGGATGAAGAAAATAGTTTTGTTTTTTTTCTGTAGGCTGCAAATCCTTGATAAAGTCAAACCACCAAACAGTCAATACATTCTTGCTTGGGAAATTGGAGACATGTTTGAAGAAAAGGTCTTTGGATGTTGGAATTTAATATGGGAACTTTCTTAGCATAACATTTTTTGTAATTTTAAAAATGTTAGTATGTGTCAAGAATGTTCTGATACACTTAATAGGAAAATGTGCACATGTAAACTACTACCTAGGTTGGCTGGATTATAGAAACTTGGAAACTCTAACCAAAAAAAATTTAAAAAAAAAAAAAAAAAGTGGTGGTGTTGCTGGGAGTGAAATGCTGTTCCCAGCACAGTCAGTTCCAGGGAGGGCTGGGTAGGACAGGGGGATGAGTGAGGGAGCAGGCAGCCTAGGTGGATGCTGCTGGTAAAAGTGCAGTTGTAGGTAGAATATTGGGAGTTTTTTTATAACTGTCCTCAAGAATTTAAATAGATGTCTATACCCACCTTGCTGGGGTGATTGCTTCTGGAGCACCTTTAGAGGTATTTTTATATTTGTAGCATTACCCATGGTTGAAACAAAATGAATAGCTAACACAAAACCCAGTACCTTCAAAATACCCTTCTTCAGGTACCCTGTTTAGCACTTACATTTATATGTAACATGATCATGCACCATTAAATGCTGAGTTTGTGAATTTTTGCATTATTTCTATCAAGAGGCCCTTTGCAAAACAGAAGAGTCCAAACACTGTGACTGGAAAAATAATTTGTTTAGCAGTACCTTGACAGTGTGACTGAAAAAAAAAAAAAAAAAAAAAAAAGTTTAAAATCAGATATTGAAAATTAGATGAATGAAAAGCTGTACAAAAAGCAGATGGAAGTGGATTTGCAGCTTGTGATCCTCAGAGAATCATAACTGGGCACACAGTTTTGTCAGCTTCTTGGTTTTGTCTGCCCAGTTTTATTAGAGTAAGATGTTTCATTTCTTAAATATATAAAAAACAATGGCTGGTAAGAGGCGAGTGCTTCAGCTGTAAAGAAATCTTTAGGTTCTAATGATTTCTTAGCAGGATGGAGCACACCATGCAGCAAGTCTGGCTGGGCTCTAACATCAAATAATTCAGAAGAGAGCATAAAAATCCTGCAGTACGCAGCTCTGTCCTCTCTCTAGATCTCCTTCTGGTCTTTAATGAATCACTTTACCCCTGTTAATATTCCCTCCAAAAACTGTACTAGCAGGAGATACTAGAAATCTGTATGGGTTGCAGTTCTAAAGAATTTGGTTTTAAATCCTTGGCTTCAGCAATTTCTTGAGGCAAAAGTTTCACATCTGAATATATGTAGTGTTAAAATAAATTTCCTTTTATCAGATCTGTACTTGCCATCCTTTCATACACTTGTAAATTTGCTTATACAAGATGTCTTATCTCACTCCGTTCCAGGAACTATTTTAAAGATTACTTGGTGCAATAAAGAATTTTAAGAAACGAAGGAACTCATTTCCCAAAAGACACGAAGAATCTTTATTCTAACTAACTCAGCTGTGATCCCACGCAGATGGTTGCAAAATTTTTCAATAGAAAGTCTTCATCTTACTTTTTCATTGTCAGAAGAAATATGAAATTCAGAGGAAGAGAGCTGTTTTAACTTAAATATGTGTTGGTCTAGTGAGGAAAGTAAGGACTATTCTGTTTATCACAGCATGCTTCAGTGGCTCTTTGACAGTTATAAAGTTTAAATGGGCTTTAGCAGGAATAGTTTGGCTATTTAACTTTAATCAATAACAATTCAAACCCTCTTATAATCGTGATTAATGCTATAGTTTCTGTTTGCCTACGATTAGTAAGTTATAGACGTTTTAATAAATGGCCAATCCATTTTTAGGGATTATTATGGAGGAGTCCTGTCATTAGATTGTGAATTTCCTTAGTTTGTGATCTTTTATAACACATCTGCTGGAAGGCTCATAACTGCTTTTAACGCCTTTATCTTCATATCAGTAGCACAACAATACCATCCATTTATTAAGTATTTAGAAGAAATTATAAATAAAACATCGATATAAAATGTGGCTAGCTATAACAACAGAGGGAAGAGGGAACCCTGGATGAGCTGGTGGTAATTAATATAATCTTGAAAAACTGATGCTATTTTAGTTCATCTCTCACAAAAATTAAATTTAGTCTGAAAACTATAAATAATGCTGACTCGCCTTCTAGTTTAACAAATGTTTAGCAATATTGAGAAGAAAAGTCAACAACATTGCTACATTTGTATTGTAAGAACTGTAGTGATTTCTACATAGTTGTTCTATTAATATTTTATAATTATCAAAGAATTGGTTTTGACAAGGTTCTGTTTTTTGACACACTTCTAAACATACACAAAACCTAGCTTTAGGACCTGCCATTTCGAAAATTGATTATTGCATTTTTTTTTCAGGCCCTTTTACACAAGACAGTGGCCAGATCTCCAGCAGCACTGAACAACTTCTTATCTCCACTGGGAAACAGCAGAACCAGAAGTTCCAAGCCCAGAATGTCACCGAGTGCCTTAATCAATATTTTAATCAATAACCACCTCACAAATACCAGGGAAGCCAATCTTCACAGTGCCTGGTTATGTTTCGTATGTGTTAGTGTTTGCCTGGCTGACTGATTGTGGACGTATTTTTGGCAGCTGCTCCAGCTCGGCGGTCAGTATAAGCTTTAACAACTGCTGCACCAGCACCCCGTGACTGGGTCTTTCTTTGCAAGTTACACGTGCGCCAACCTGCAGGAATAACCTGGACACAAATGCTGAAAGGTGGTAGCACCTATGCAGCATGAGAAGATAGTTTCCTACAAAGGTTTGGTCACAAATTCTTTGGGATATGAGTTAAAGCAGAAAGGAAAGTTGTCAGGTGAGAAATCAAGGTCAGTTGAGACATTCTGATCTGTTTACTGTAAATCCTTGGAACAAGGTCTGCTGCTCTAGGTTTGCATAGTGCCTTGCACAATGGGAGTGTGATGACTTAGACATCAAAGCATTACTGTAATGCAAATCAAATTTTACGGTCAATGTGATTCACAATTAGGAGTAAGTGCAGCAAGTTCATTGGGTGCAAGGTTGTGGAGATTTAGACCATGACCACAGAACCACGAAAATCAAGGACAACCACAGGAAACACTGAGGGAAGGTAAATATCACCAAATCATATTGTCAGTGGTCTTGTTACAGCGTCTCTGTACCAGAGGAATGAAAGGCAGTGGGTTATGGAGCCTTTCATTGCCGAGTCCAAGTCCAAGCCTTCTCAAAAAAAGCAACCACTGACTTTTTACCAGCTGATACGTGTTTGGCAAGTTCTCTCAGATAAGCTTGTGGGTCCCAATCACATCTTAGAAAATCGACACATGAGCACACTAAAAATCTTCCAGCCTGCACATCAAGATGATGGGGAGAAAAAGTTAAAAAAATGAAAGTAAAAAAAAATACAGCCCTCAGGTGACTACTGCTGCCTTATGAGGATTCTCCCCTTATTCAGCCGAATGCAACATAGAGCAAATAATTCGTGTCTAAATTTTGCAAGCTTTCTGCAAAACTCCTAATGTCTACGAACTAACAAAGGATTAGTGTTTTGCTATCAAGTGCTTACCCGTTGTGGTTTAGAAAGCTGGATAGTATCAGTGAAGTAGAACAGGATATACATTCAGTAGTTCATCAGAAAAAGGTCCTTAAAGCTGTTAAACCTTAAACAATCAGCTAATTAAACATTGCAGAGTGCCTGAGCAAACAATGAATTAATGTTTATTGTGAATTGGATTTTTTTTTTTTTTTATTTTGGTTGGTGGTAATGTAACATTAGGGAACAGGATCTTTTGTGTAGATACAGCTCAGGAGGAACCAAACCGCCATACCCTGTGTCACTTACAAGGAAAATTTGCCTTTGGACTTTGAGTCAGGTGTGATTTCTCCCTACGTATAGGGACCTTGCATTTACAATGGTCTTTTTTTTTTTTTTTTTTTTTTTTTCCCCCTGGGCTTTATGGCTTTATTTCTGAAGCAAGAAGGGAAGATACTTGTCACATCCAGTCAGTTGTCTGTGGTCTTAGGCATGATTATGCCCTAAGGTATGTTGTCTAGTCTAGTTTTAATTGTCTGAGCGGCTCCTGCCACTTCCCTTAGGAGACTTTTCCACAGTCTATTAGCCTTCACTGTCAGGAAATGTTTCCTGTTTAATAGCTTACATTTTCCACTTGCTTATCTGCATCCCATCACTCCTAGAAATATCACTGAACCACCCTAAACAATTCTTTTCCCTCCCTGGTGTTTACAACATTCAAATAGTTCCTTCATAATCTGTAATTCCTGTTCTTGCTTCATCCATTCTTTGTCCCATCTCTTGACAATGTGCCCTTCACCTTTCCACTATTTACGCTCCAAAGTCTTTAGTTTTTCTTTCTCTGAAGCTCTTTTCCTACAGGGGCTCAGCACAGAGCAGATCTCATCCTGCAGTCCTTTCAGCTGACTGCTCTTTCAATCAAACCTCAGCTCCCCCATTCTCTTTCCTGGTGTTTATTTTAATTCCCAGAAAAAATGCTGCAGAAAATGGGGTTTTTTTTTGGTATTTGTTTTTTTTTGCAGCTGAGGTGCTGAAACCACCCTTGTGATATGAGCTGCCCTGGAGGGTTTCATCACTTCCTCCCATACCTTGCTAGTCCAGGTGAGTTAATCCATGAGCATCCACACTTTTCTCAAGTTATTCTTAGGTACTACCCAGGATATCTAAAAGCTCCTTGCCTAACTGACATTAAACAGAGACATTTGCATTCTTGTCACCGTTGGAAGTAATATAATTCAGTATACATACACATTCAGTTTACATACACACCTGGACTTACAACTGCTGCTACCAACTATATCTGGCTCTTACATTGTATTACGGATTCTTGATTTAAGTGGTGATGCGCCATATCATAGGTGTCACCTTGAGTTTACTGGGTTTTAATTTAGAGCAGGGCTGAACTGGGCTGAAGGCCTCCTCTTCCTTCACAAAGTTCAAGACAGTTAAATTTAGGGAGTCTCTCTTGGCAAGTGAGCAGTCCTACTTATCTCTGTTTCTTCCTTGTCAAATTTACAACTGGTTTCCTGACCAAAGCTGTTTCTTGGCACCAGAATGGCTGGAGAACAATACAATTGTCTATTGTTTTTGTTTTATTGTAAATGTTTTTGATTGTTTTAGCTATCAAGCCTAGCTTGGAAACTTGAGGCAAAAAATTCCTTCAGTTGAGAACTCCCTCTTCTGTTCATTTATGCAGCTGGATGGAGGACAGTGCTTTGGGCTGGAAGCCAGGGTGTCAGCAGTTCAGCAGCGTGCTATTGTGTGATCAGGGAAAAGACCCTTAAGCTCTTTGGACCGTGGTCAGATTGCCTGAATTCCATTAAAGTTCCTAAATCTACTTTGTCCTACTTGTTCCCTGCTTACTGCCCTACTTGGACCTGCTGAGCTGCTGCTTGGAAGCCCACATCTCTTCTGACTCAGTGCTGTGAGACAGGTGGCGTTCAGGCTACCTGAAAATTGCCCTGTTAATCTGTCCATCCACACAAAAGTGTTACTAAAACAGATTTTCCTTCTGCATAAAGTGGTTGGAAATGTAATAATTTTATATGTTGATGGTTAGCTATTTTTGTTAGCTCTATTTAAACTCTTTGACATGTGAATGACCTTTATGCCACTAACTGCCTGAAGTACTGAGACAGTAAGAATATCCTCTGTTGCTTTGTGGTTAAAATCCCTTCTCTCTCACTGACTGACTCCTTTGTTCCTTTAGGTCTCTTGTCACCCTCTTTCAGCCATGTCCTCGCTGACAATTCCTTGGTTTCTGAGACACGCAGCCGATAGTGCTCCCACTGCACTTCTGCTTTCCAGAAAGCCCAGGCTGCCCCGAGTGCCATCGTGCTCATTACTGCTCTGCTGTCCACCAGATTCAAATCCATCCCTAAAATCCGTTGTAAGCACTGACTTTGCGGTGGACTGAAGGCTGGCCTTTGCCGTGGAAATGGCAAGAGCTAGTTTTGCATGCAGAATATTTTTAGCTTTGGTTTGTGTTGGACTTGTTCTATTTTTAGCTTGTTTTGTGAAACTTATTATCTTTAGTACAAAAGGAAAAGCAACTTAAAAGCAAATGGAATCTAAGTCTGTCTTTCTAATTAATGAGATTGCTAAAGACAAACTGCATATATACTTAAGTCTATTTATACATTCTTAAGTATCGCATACCCTCAGGAAGTCCCGATCAACTACTTTAACAAGCAAAATGGGTTCCAAATGTTTACTTCTAGATTTGTGTACCTCTAACCATGTAAAACCAAGTGTTTGTGATCATTCATCTCTCTTCTATTCACTTTTACCTGGAAATTTTATTTTTCATAATAATACACATCTCTATGTAGGTACATTCTAAGATATGGTGGGGTTAGCCTTGAAAATAAGCTTTATTGTAGCAGTGAATCATTACACGTAACCACATCTGACTTGATCACAGTGTTTATAATTTGCACGTGTGTACATAAATCACATGCTCAATGAAGTCTTTGTAACACATACAAACTAAAGGAAAAATCCAAAGAGATTGGAGGGTTCGAGATATGGCCTATAAACACTTGCAAACTACTTCCTCTGTGTCAGAGTGAGGAAAATGTTTTTTACTGTGACCTGTGATACTGCTGTAGCCTCTGTCACATATTTGTGTCCTCATAAATCTCCTGTATCAAAGAAGGAAGTTGGCCTTTAACAAAAAATGAGTATCCAGGGCTAAGGTGATTTACTTCTGTGTGGTATTTTGCTTTGCTTTGTTTAGAGCACAGGAAGTGTCAAATAAAATTCATAAATTCTTTTTTTTTAGTATTTTCAAAACTTAAACAAATTACTATGTGGCTTTAATGTCCTTTTGTAGTCTGTTGTGCCGGCTCTATGATGACTGATCCTATGGCTAGATATGTGACCAAAAATCTAATAACAGGCTATCAGATATTTTCTGCAACATAACAAAGCATCTCCTGCAGTGCCCCAAACAGGTAACAAAGCCTATTTGCACGGAGACAGACACCTTAGCTAAAGAACTGGACCTTGCAGTATGTCTTGAAGTCATAAAGGTTTATGCTGGTTGTCTGTACAGCAGAGAAAGGTGTTTCACAGCAGCACCTGCCTCTGAAAATGCTTTTCTGCTTCCAGTCTTCAAAACCTAAATGTAGAGAAACTGTGACTCCAGTTTTCTTAAGTATCACAGTGCACAGCTTGTAGCACATAAGGGATATTCCAATTCTCATGCTGATACCTTTTGCTATAGGAGAAAGGAGAGTAATTCCTAAGCTGATATTATGTCACTTGTCACCAGGATATGGCTCCTATGTATGGTCTCTATCATGCTCCTTTTCTTCCCCCAGAACTGAAGAGAAGAGCAGCAGGAACACGCCCTGGCTTGGATGCTGGAGAAGGAGGTGGTGATGCAGCACATTGCAGTTCTGCATGAGGTCAGCCAAACAGTGAGTTCATACAAATTGATGACAATGTTGTGTACCCACACTCGTCAGGCTGATCCTTAAATGGAGCATTAATAATGTGATTGGGTCCACTGTGTACATGGAAAATTGCCCACTCGCTGCGTGTCACCAGAAACAGGCCGCAAACCAGCGAACGGTGATTTTTGAACTTGGAGCTGTGATGTCTTGGATGCATCAGTATAGTAAAAAAACCTGTCTGCTCAAGAACCTCGCTGCCTCGCGTAGATGTACACTGCCTCAGGCCAGCACAGACAAAACAAAGCAGGATTCGTCTCATCTGTGGTATCAGCCTTTCCTCACTACACACACTATGCAATCACTCCGCAGCAGTTCGAGGGTCACGCATGTGCGTGAGGGGCAGCTGTTGGGCTTGTGTGGGATGGAGACAGCAGAGGTGATCTTACGTGTGTCATTCTTTAAGGGGAAGTCAGGATCTGCAGATGACGGTGGATTAGCACAGTACATATTCTTGAATAACTGCACACAGAGGTTAATGTGAAGAGAACCAAGGTGTTCCTGGTCTGGCACAAATGTGTCCATTCATGCAATGCAGATATATCTGAATGCCACCCTGGCAGGCTACAGAAATGTAAGAAAAAATCATTTCAAAGTTTTTTGCGTATATGACTCTAATACTGTCTTGTAGTTGCCTTTTGGGAATCTTCCAGTGATACACAATGTTTCTGTGCCTGCTGGGCTCAGTCCTCTGCCCCGCAAAATGAAACAGGCTGTTAGAGCTAACTGAAGAGCCGCTCTCTGCCTCCACTGTCTCACCTGCTACTCTGCCACAAGCACTTTTCTCTCTTTTGCTGAATTTTAATGTCAAAGAGAGAGTTAGAATGAAATTGTTACAATGCCTTACCACTTTGTGCCTTTATCAGAAACTGCGGAAGGAAATACGTGTACTCTGAGATAACAGGATTTGCATCCTTAGGTATCGTGGTCAAGCAGGCTGTATCCATTCTTCTCTCAGTCATAAAGCCCCTCCGACCGTAACCCAAATATGATATTGACTGTGACAGTGGGTAAACCTCTGTTCACCATAACAGCCCCTCTTACAGAGTTCATCTGCTAAAATTTAATTGCAGGATCCACACTTCACAGGAAAGAAAGTTTGTGAGTAAAAAAATTTCAGCGTCTCAAAGATATTAAGTACTCGGTGCTGCTACTGGTTCAGCGCAGATGACAAAGTTAGCAAATTCTCTGCTGGCTGAAGCTGCACGGAGAGGGGAGAGGACAGAGCAGTGTCAGTGGGTATCGCTTGCTCTCGGTGCATGCTCAGCAACCTGACAAATGGCAGCTCTTGTTTCTTCCTGCATACAGTGGATCTGACAGCGATGGCATACACCGATGGGTATGGATGATGGTAGGCAGACTCAGATAAGCCTTTAAATCTGTTTTGGCAGCTTGACTGATCCAAGGAAGAAAGAGAAGGAAGGCCTAAGTGACGTATCCTGCATAAAGATCATAACTTGAGAACAAAAGTCTGTCTGCACTCAGATAGTCGAGGTAACTACTTTGAGATGTCAGTGATAGCTTGTCGGTTATATTTAATCATGTGTTGGATTAGGTGGGTGGAGAGAGGGAAATTCAGGGAAGTCATACCTCCTAAAGCACCTATGGATTACTGCCTAAAGCATTACTGCCCTTCTTGTGTGCTGTGCATCTTATATCGCAGTTGTTCTTTTTTAAACAACTGAAAACGCAGCTTTTCATCCCAGGGTGTATCTAAGGGCACCAGTATCCCAATTTTGCCAACCCTGAAGTGGATTTGAAATACAACTGCAAATATATGTGCAGTCTATACCATTAGAACTGGAAATGGAAGAAGTTACAGCATCTTTTATTATGTTGCTTATAGCGATATCAGGTATGATTTGTATTTGAATGGCCCTGAGGAAGCATCAGACTGAGAACTAATTCTGACAGCATCGATGTCAGCATGGTTATGTAAATTTTATGTTTGAGAAAGTTAAAATTATGTAAGTACAAATATAGAAAATTAGAGGAATCGTGTTCTATCATGCATCAATCTTTTGGAGCACTAAAGCATGGACTGTGGAGAGTGTCTTTTCATGGCTGAGTCCTAGTCTGTCATGAAGTAAAAGGTTAAAACATCCTGGAGTTGATTCCATTCCTATTTAAGAAAATTATTTTTCAGTAACACGTGGAGCTTCCTGTAACCCCACCACAAAGCTTCTAGATGGACGCACCCTACTGTCCTCTGCAACTGTTACTCTCTGAATGGCATAAGACTGAATTCACCATTAATAAAACCTTTCTCTCAAAAGCTTTGGAATATTCCTGTTGGAACACTGCAGACGTTTTGCCTCTCTTCTACCTGTCTAATGGCAGTACCAGAGGGTCAGCCATCTGAGGTGCATCAGTGCAGCTATTAATGGAATATCTAAGGCAGAGGACGAGGTGCTGGACAGAGATTCAAGCTAGATGGTTTCCCTCCCTGGGGCTGGCTGAGGTCTGGGCAGGTGGCTGCACCAATGTGCCTCGGTTTCCTTTTTGCAGACTGGGGATAATGAAGCTTGCTTCTTTAGAAAGCCTTGCAAGGACTATCGGTAATAATTTTAAAACATAAGTGCTGTGGTATTAAGACAGGTCAAGGCTGATAGCAGTTTGAAAGGTTAACAATCCATCATATGGACTGTGTAAGTCTGGTGAATTATGAGGCTGCCCAGATTAGAAAAAGAGCCCTGGTGGAGGTACATTAAATGAGCTAAGTGGATGTCACTCAGGCTAGTTCTGAAAAGTGGTAAGATAGAAATGAAATGCCTTTTTTTTCTTTTTTTTTTTCTTTTTTTCTTTTTTTTCTTTTTTTTTTTTTTTTTTTTTTAAAAAAAAAAAGGATACCTTCCAAATATAACAAAAATTAGTTTAGGCTGATTCTCAAAAGTTGAGGTTTCTTGAAATGTTTAGCCTTTGACTTAGCATAGTGTGTCCTGTGAAGCTTCCACCTCAGGAAAAGGGTTGGAAAAGAAGGTGGGGGAGAGAGAATATTGTATGTGTTCCCTATCTTACTTCCGTCTGCTAAAGCACTAATTATTAACACTAATCTAATAAAGCCTGTAAGGGTTTTCTAAATAGTCTTTCAAGATCCTGTAATAAATCCCTTAATAGAGCAGTAAATTTAGCAAAGTGTTAATCAGCCAGTAATCAATATCAAGCAAACACTAATTGTAGACCTTGGAAGAGCAAAGGTTCGTTGTGTTTCTGTTTGCCTGTACCACATGTGGGAAGACTCCGGAGAGGGAATACCTACAAAATACAAACTAAAGAAGAGGGAAGGTATTTGAACTGCTGGGTAAGAATCTGGCAGAGCCAAGCTGCTGAGTCACGGATATGGAGAATTAATTAAGAACAGAGAAATAAAATGTGGG